TGATAGCGCGTGTCTCAATGAAGCTTTTTCGGCGATACGGCCGAATATAGAGATCGGTTTCTTGCGTTCAGACCAAAACTGAATAAATTTGGTTGGTACAACTATTAAGTCAGAAGATATTCTTCGAATGAACTCCACTTATTCCAGTATTATTATTTTACCCATCAATTTGATGATCTGCATAGTTTTGAATAAGCGAAGATAGTTTAGAAAATCAATAAGCTTATTCTATCAGCATAAAATCCATGAGATTAAACGCCTAATAGTACTGAATCACATGCGCAGTCTGTGGTATATGGCACAATAACGTATTACAGTAAAACTAACCATCAACATAGGAGCAGTTCATTCCATCTATTTTCTCCGGTATTAAGTATCATTTCATACAGTAAACGTGGTATAAAGGATGTAGAAATAAGATGGTTTGCTTATTAATTAGTATTATTATATCCTTTAATTTCTAGAGGAACATAAAGCTTCAGCCACGCGTCTCCATTGCCTTCGGTTTTCTGCCAACTTTTTCATTCCGCTCCAAGTCTGCCCCCACTCTTTCATCTCCTCTTCACATGACCTCCTCCAAGTCACCCCACCCTCGCACTGACGACCAACTCGCCGCTTCCCTTTCGGGTTCCACTCGAGCAATGGCTTGTCTAGTGATGTCAGTTGTTGGTTTCCTCAGAGTATGGCCAATCGATCTCCATTTCTTCCTGCATATTTGTTGCACAATCGGTTCCTCCTGTGTTGGTTCGCTCATTACCGGAGATCCGTGTTGCTGATCTTTTCTGGCAGGCCATCTGATCTTGAGTAGTATTGAGCGAAGACAACTGTTGATGAAGGTCTGAAGTTTGTTTGAGATGCTCTTTATGACGCGCAGTGCAAGTCTCTGATCCGTACAGTGAGTAGAACTGACTTCACATTGGAGTTGAAAATCCGGATGTTATTTTTGATGATGAGTGATGTTGACCTCCACACAGACTTAAGGGTAATGAAAGCCTGTCTTGCTTTTCCGATTCTGGCTTTGATATCCTCGTCAGTTCCGTCCTCCTGTAGTTGAAACGATGCTTCCCAGCTGGGTGGGTAGGTGAAGGAGGCTGTTTCTTTCAGGTTCCTCTCATTTATACTGGCTGATTGTTGTCTGTTGTTGTTTCTGTGGCTGTTGGTGTTGGCCAGGAATTTTCATCGCCTCTGTTTTATCTATGTTCACCTGAAGTCCCATCTTCTCTGGATGCTTCTCCTGCTAGCTTGTCGCTTTTCATTTGCATATCTTCCAGTTTGTTGGAAATCAGACATATCATCGGCGAATTCCAGATCCTCCAGGTTTTTTGTGTGAGTCCATTTAGTGCCTGTTTCCTCATTGCCCGTTGTCTGTCGCACTATCCAGTCTACTGCAACCAGGAAGATCATTGGAGATAATAGTCAGCTTTGCCTCACTCCCGCCGTCACTTAGAAGGATTTCGTAAGTTTCCCGTTGTGGATTACTTTTGCTTAATAATAACATAGTTCAATTACGCAAACAGTAAATAGGAAGTGTTCTCAGTTTATATTACCTCAAGTTTATGAATATGCCAAAATGTTCAGAGGGTTATGAAGTAAGTTTGCCAACAAAAGTTTGAGCCCATCCTAATCCTTATATCAAGTAGTGATTCAGCTAATTGCGCTAATGTTTCATTCTTCAGTTTTTTTACTAATCCGGAAGCCATCAAATAATTAAAAGGGATATTCAAGTGTTGGATTGCAGGGATTTGATTGGTTACAGGATTTCATCATTAGCTGACGTTGATAAGAGAACTTTTGGAAAACCTAGAAGTACTGCACAGCTGTTTCGTTCGTCCTAGTTTGGGAACCTTCATAAGAACGCACCCACCACCAGGGTTCGAACCCAGCACCTTCAGGTTACAAAACGAGCTCTTAGACCATTGGACCATTGGCACCTGATCAAGTAACCAGCCCACGAATTCCAACTTCTGCCGATTCACGATATGGCGTGATCACAAGCAGACGTCATCGTTGGCGAGTATTTGTCGTAACGGCTAACAGGGTCAACTCCACTGGTCACGAATTTTCACTAGAACCCTGAATAAGGGCAGTTGTTGGTTTGGAGAACCTTCCGGAAGGTCCTATGTTCGAGCTCCAGCAGGTGCGCACTGCGAAGAGTTCCAAACTAGGACGAAACAGCCGACGAGAACTCCTAGGTTTTCCAATAGATGTCTAACCCAAGTCGGTTCCAGATGAAATCTTGGAATTAAAAATGAGTTCTTTTTTAAATTAGTTTGTTTCTTTACCTGGAGATTCAATTCATTTCGTCGCTAAGTTCTGAGGTGTTTATCATTTCAGCTTTTCAAACTTTTAGTCTACGCCATTTGAAAACATACAGTTCTCCATGTGATGTCTATTTTTCTATGGTTTATGCATGAAAAGATATTTGCGTTTCAAAGACAAAAATATTATTAAGAAGACTTTTATGCTTTTTAAGACACGCTCAAACTTTCTTAAATTTCTTTACAAATATCATATGACAACAAAAATGTTTTACCTCGAAGCTTTCTTCTAAAATCATGCTTACATTTGAATATTATTCCTATTAACTGACTCTATTAACCACGGAATATTATAAATTATTTTCCCGTCACTGTGAAGAAAACCGAACACATTAATCATTATGGAAATGATCAGATTCTTCATGACCCGGTTAGAAAATATAACTCCATTAACCTGACATGAAAATGTCATCTTTAAAATGCTTTCACGTATTTGAACAAAAAAAATAGTCATTAGTCCCTTTTATTATGGTCTAACATTTCTAGGATTCCCAAGACTGAATATTCTTGGAAAAAAATTTGTACTTTTTGATAAAGCGTCTAAGCAGTGATAATGAGGTGTGTAGGTTGAGAATAATCTTCTCAATCATACTAATTTTTTGTTGTTGTGTGTGTTTCATTTTCATTGCAACTTTATGAGTTCTTATAGAAAAACTGGTAGTTTGTTTTTTTTCTGTTCCATTCTTATGTAGAAAAATTTAACTTTCATGTGAACTAAACACTTAGAAAGGTAGAAATGAATTATCAAGGTATTCTTAACAAAGACAACAACACATTTTTAAATTTCCTTTATTTATATGGACATTTGCCATTATTATGTAACAGAATGTAATGAAATATCTCCATAAAAGATTTTATGCTCAGTCAAAACATGTTCCTGTGTATGCTAGGCAAGCTACTCATTGAGAAAAAAAACTGAGACAACTCACTAGGATTCCATCGAAACTAGTAAAAATTGGATAAAATTGGAATGAATGAAATAAGGATAGCACTCTATCGATAAAAAAAATATTTAAGCGGTGGTATGGCATAGATTACAGATTTTAAGGCAAACACCACAGTTGTATGATAGTGATTAAAAAGAACAGTAATTTAATATAGTATCAATTTAACTAGAAAATTAAGTAATCAAATCAGGAGCTTTATTTTAATGATATTGTGATATCCGTAGGTCAACAGTTGTTGATTAAAAAGTATTATTTCTAGTGTTCATAACTGAAATATCCCTCATAGGCTGGTAGAGTTGACAGGTGTCAAGAAGTCCACCGACCTCAGTGTCTCTGTAGTAATACATTTTCCTTTCTTTTACCTATATAATTTTCAGCATGTGTTGTAGTTTCAAAAAGGGTAAAGAAGATTTTGTGATCGAGAAAATCACACTCGTCTTGTGAAAACCAACCAGAGCGATGTAGACAAAAATAAAATGTCCATAGTTTACCAGAATAATCGATGAACTATAAGTTCACAGGAGCGATTCTAATGTATGTATTTCAACCAACTTTGAGAATACTATCCTGTTTTCCTCCTGAGCTCTGTTTCATTCTTCTTGAATTCAAACTTTGATGCTTTTCTTTACTGTTATCTAATGGAGTTGATAAAAAGGTTGTTTTACAACAGTAATTTTGTTTAAATAAAGTCAACGCTACTCCATAGAGTGACTGCTTGACACTGGACTGTCTACACAAACCATGACTGTTCTGTCTAGTTCTTGAAGATGGTGTTTTGATCACACCTTGTGAGGACTATTCTTACTGATTATCAGTACGTATTTCGTACCTGACATACTTTTAGACAAACTAGCTGCAGAAAGACATTATATGAGGTGGTTATGTATTACCATTGTGTCATTATTTCAGAATACTACGGCAGATTCGATCACTCAAAATGTTTACAATATGACTGGAATAATTTTAAACTGTACCAGCCAAAAATTTAAAAACATTTCAAAATATGTTAGGTGAAACTAAATGATATTATTAGCCAATTTTTAGAATGTCTGACAATCAAAATACTTGTATACCAGTGTTGATTTGTGAGGATTTGGTCGGCTATGGGATTTCATCGTGGGTTGACACCGGTTACAGAACCACAGGAAAAAATTGGATTACTGGATAGCTGTTTTATTCTGGTTTAGGAAGCTGCATCTGCATACTGATGGGGAATCCAGTACCCCCAGGTATTCCTGTGGTGTCAGTCCGTGATGAAGTCCTGTAAAAAATTCGTATATAATTGAACAACTCATGTCGTTCTTTATTTAACAATCCCGATGCAGTTTTAAAATAGGAACAATGCTGCAGATTCGTTTTTGTTTTCATTTGAATTACATTTTATGTGTACAAAAAGGCAGATCCATAAACGGCTTTAGTGAACAGCATTACAATCCGCAAGAAACATTCTCTTGATTACTAGAATCTTTCATTAAAACAACTTTGTATTTTGGTTTGATGTGTATTGAAAGTGGGTGTAGAGAGGTATGCACGTAGTTCTTACATTTGACACAATAGCAAGAAAACAAGTTAGTCAGTAACTCCGAATAATAAAGTTGCTCAAATTCCATTAACTCGTTTGTCACTAATATGTAGTGGTGGCGCTTTTAATTCCTTACAAGATATTGGAGGGATAATTCGTGAAATATAAATTAATAAAAAATAATATTTCATTAAACAGTGTACAAGAACTTACCTACAAAATTTGTCAGCAATCTTTAGCAATGGTTGTTTTTGTCGAAATGCATAAGTACCAGGTAAGGCATTTAAAATAATATCGTTAACACCTTGATAAGCAACATCCTCGAAAACAGGAAAAACATTCAATTCTGATAATGTGACGGTTACTTGAATTCCTGAGTTCCGAAACTATAAATAATAGTATTAAAAAAAGGATTACTCTCAAGGGGTAATTATCCACAAAGTTTTGTAATGAAAAGCATGTGACAAGTAAATGTAAATTCAGTTTACGCGATTGAATTTTCTGTCCAACGATTTCCGCTGATTCAGACAGACTCTATTCTGAACGTGAAAATGTTGATCAGTAGTTGCAAAAACGGGCTACCGAATGGTACTCCCTTCATTTGTAGCTACACTATTCTAAATTTATTGTTTTGCTGATGAGTTAATACGGGTGTCTGAACAGAATTTAGTATTGATGATAAGTCACTATTATAGACCTTACCAAGTTTACTTATTGATTCTAAGCCCTGAAAAGTAGGGAGGTTGAACGTGAGATGAGAAAAAGGAAAAACTAAAAAAAATACTTCCCCAAATACGGAAACTTCACATTACACTAAAATCAAATTGATTTTCTCTTGAATAAGAAAGACTTCTCATATAAAGAGTGAAAACTTTCGAGGGACCAGTTACTGATAAGTCTTCTTCGGATGAAACCGACAGAAAGCATAAGAACTTGTGGGGCTTGAAAAATTTTTGAAGCTGGTGGTACTGTTTAGTTTTTACAATAAACGAGAACGTAGAAATGGTAGAAATCTAAAGGGCATGATGGAGTGGAAGTGAACTCAACAATTTATTCGCTGCAGAGTCAGTAACCTAAAAGATATTAAAATTTTCTCTAGAAAGTCGTTACATCCGACAAACATAAAAAATATCGTCATGCCCAAATCAGCAAAATAATGATTGCGTATCTAAGGTTTTGCAAATATTTTACTTGTAGAACTCTTTGTATCTAGTAGGGGACATAAATTATATTAGTAGACAGATGTATAGATAAACAGTCTTCATCACAGTGAATAAAATCCTAGTGAAATAAATAGACATGATTTTTAGATATCACAAAATTAGCTTCTCATAATCATCTTTCGAAAAGGAGGGTAATTTCCATTTGTTATGAATGCATTCCATGTATCAATCATTCTACTCGAACAAATTTATTTGCAGACATGAATACAGTGGCGACATTACGTGAGTAGTTAAACAACTGTCGAGAAAAAATGCAATAAATATTATAGCACACCACTGCATAGTTAAGCAACTGTTATTGAACGTGATAGAAGTTTTTTCTACGTGAATATCATAAGTGTTCAGTTCACCAACCGTAATGATAAATGCTTATACTTATCACCGCGTAAATAAATGAAGAAAACAACATGGAATAGTTGTTTAGACTTTATTTATCTCTTTTATGACTTAATTTTGTTGTCGACTCGTTATCTGAAAACTTTATTCATTTCCATTTTATTTCTGTGAGTTCTCAGTAGAACATGGCGCTTGAAGCTTGAGCCTTGAGGTTTCAGTAGCAGTGACGTTTTCTACTAGGCGGAGTAGCTATTCTAACCCTCAACCTCCTCAATTTATCAGGTTTATAACCTATTAGGGGAAGGTAAAGGTGTTAACCGGCTGAAAGTTAAATCCAGAATCACAGAGGTGGTTGGAGAGCATTCGACCGCTGAACCACCAACGCACATCTAAAACCTCAATATTTAATATTTGAAGCAGTGAGTGCGAAGAACATTTCCCAGCAACAATGGAAATAAGATTCTCAGCTTATCTGCGCATCCTCTGTGGAGTAACGTAGCATCCCGTGAAGCCGATGACAGTTAAATAGTATCTTGTTTGTTTGAGTGACGTACAATAAAGTAAAATATCTGTACTACTAAGTGCTTCAAGTTTTAATGATAGGATGGATATGCGACGCTTATCTTGGTGAACATCTTCGAGATAAGTGTTTTACCATTCCAGTGGTAATCAGCGTTTGAGAAAACAATCCTTTGTAATGAACCTTATAGATAACATCGATTTTTAAGATTTAGGTATTGTTTTGAAAAATAAAATGGCTTATCCTATACGGGTCTTCCTCTCTTGTAAGTAGCTTGATTAGCAGCTTTCATAGCGTCAGGACTGATAATTGTTTTTAAGAATACTTTAGATGCCCGACTGCATATAATCAAAATCACAACTTACTACCCGGTTACTAAATTTATTGTATATACATGACAAAACTGAGAAATATAGAGTCATAATTTTTGGCAAACGTGTGACTTCAACTTCACAACTGACAATGTATAACGATTAAAAATGAAACTTTACATACTTAAAGTACAGGTAGGAAAGTGATATCAGTAGATCCAAATACTAAAGAATCTTTTTTCTAAATTGTGTATTTATACATAAATTGTAGTGATATTGATTTATCGCGTGATAGGCCTTAGTATCACTAATAATATTTCTAGTTGTGGTAGATCGGATCGTGAAAAAGACTGTGAGCGTGCGTTGAACTCACAAAAAACCATCAAAGATCTGAATTTCTTAGATAATTCATGTCAAATGTTACGTTTACTAGGAGGTCTAAGGGCGAAAACCAATAATTAATATCAGTGAGAAGTTTTTGCATTGTGGAACAGATCAAATAAATTATACTTATGAAATAATAGACAGAATTTGCAGCTCAGGTGGATGATTTGGAATTAGCTGTGTTCTCTGAGCTTCTCAATTAAACCGACTTGCTCAGAGAATACAACTAATTCCAAATTATAATTGTATTTCAATAGTTTACAGACAGTATATATTCATTTTATTTTGATAATATTCGGATCAAAACTACCACCTGCGATCAAACCAATTGCTGGAATTGTTGCTCATAAGACAGAAGTAGTCGCTTTCTTTGTTTATCTGAAAATAAGTTTTAACGTTGCATGATTTTGTAACATGTGAGACATCGGAGTAATTCTGGTCACATATGACTGATATCAAGATGTTCAAATTATATTCTGAATGAAGGAATGTACATTTATTCGCAGGCTGCAGTATAACTTTTTGTGGTTGATTTTATTGTAGTACTTAAATGTGGTTATCATCACATAACTTAATTTTAGTTAACAATTCTTCATTACATTAATTTACAACTCAAAAATTATGACCAGACAAAACTTCGAGCAGCAAAGCCCTAAGTTTAAATTCACTTCAATTTTTCAATTCATATGAAAACTCAATCAGTTTTGTAAAAATAAAAATCAAGTATCCCGCATATAATTAAATAGATAAATACTTACGGAAATGAATTTGACAATGGAATCATTTCCATTGACCACTGAAGACTGATAAATATCATTCGTTGTAAATAAGTTTTCAGCAATAAGATTCTTTCCTACAATTAACTTAACAGCATGTTGATCTGAAAAGCCAAAATAAATATACTAATCAAATTATTTATAGATAATGATTATATATATATATATATATATATATATAAGATAAAGATCTCAGCGAAAAAATCTTCTTTGCTACGATCCCATTTTCTTGAATGTACAATAATTTCCTTGTTTGAAATATAAAAATTATTAATGAAGTCATCAGAATAGCTCTATAGAATCTATGCTGAATATACTACAACCTACAATTTGCTATTATACTTACATGTAATAAATTACTTATTCTCAAAACATTAACTGATGATTATCGCCCTGAAATGATTGCCGTTGAAAATCACAAGCTCTCGGAAACAAGAACATTGGTGAAAAGACTGAGGGATTCAGAATATGAACGAAATATTCCCATATTGAGTCATAAGAAAAGGCACAAACAGTGAAGAAAATTTTCTTTTCGACGATTCATTTTCATGAGCTGTACAATCGTAATTATAATTAAACACATAAGTTTTTACTGCATAGAGGATTTAATCATGAGCTGACATCAGTTATAGAACCACTGGAAAACCTGCATGAAGTACTGGACAACTGTTTCGTCACACTAGTTTGGGACTCTTCAGCAGTACGCACCCACCGGGATTCGAACCCAGGACCTTCTGGTTACAAGGCGAGCTCGTAGACCGTTGAGCCGCTGGGACCCGATTCAGTGGTCCTTGAATTCTAACTTCTGCCAATTCACGACATAGCGCGACCACTTCGCAATGTCTTCTTCGATGAGTTACTGCCTCATCTTCAACCTTCCTTCATCTTCAACATAAGTTTTTGACCAATCAGATACTGGTAAACTTTGTCCTTGAAAATTCTACTACATAGTGTGAGGTGTAAGAAGGGATGACTTATTGTAAGTTAGAACGGAGACAGAAGTTGGCATGACCTAATAAGTGTGAGATAATGACTAATCAATAAGCTAGTGTAGAGTGGACAGGAACCAGTGGAAAGGTTATACAGTAGTTTTGTATAAGATCTGTGTGAAAAAGCAATGTTATTAATAAACAGTCATAGAGTAGTAATAAAATGTGGATGGTGGGAATAGTAATAATAATAAAAGTATTAAGAACAGTAATAATAATAATAATAATGATAGTGAACTTACATATTAAAAGAGAGGAGAAAAATTAAAGTAAGAAATTTACTCTGGCCATGGTAGGGCTAGAGAAAGACAAATGATCTCACTAGATGTCACCTCTCTATTCACAAGTATCCCCCTGACTGAGACAATATGCTTCATTTGTAATTACATAGAAACCAACAACATAGAAGTTCCTCTCCCCATAAACTACCTGAAGGAACTTCTTCTCAGATGCACGTTCAATATCCAGTTCAAATTCAATGAACAGTTCTATGTACAGAAAGATGGAGTAGCCATGGGGTCTCCTCTCGGTCCACTCCTAGCTGACTGTTTCATGGCGAGTCTTGAAAACAACATCCTTGATCCCTTGATAAGTCAACTGCACTTATACAAGAGATACGTAGATGATACGTTTATAATCTGTGATGAAAAATGTGATTTAGATTCTCTCCTGAAAACCTTCAACGCAGCGCATCCATCAATAAGATTCACCTTAGAACGCGAATCGAACAACGCATTTCCATTCCTCGATGTATTACTCACCAGAAGAGACGACTGTACGATCCAAAGATCGATATACCGTAAGCCAACATGGACTGGACAGTTTATCAACTTCCAGAGCTTTGTTCCACTGACCCGAAAGAGAAACTTGGTACGTACATTGTGCTCAAGGATTAGAAAAATCTGCTCGGAAGACACGGTGGAGAAAGAATTAAATTTATTGCGTGAAACCCTACTAGAGAATGGGTATCCGCCAAGATTCATCGACAAAAACATGAAGGAGAAGCCCCCGGTGCCAAATATCACAACGGTTCCTAAGAAGACTCTCTTCATGAACCTAGAATTCAAAGGTGACATCGCAGCGGAAATTCTCAGAAACCGCCTTTCAAAAAGTCTGAAGAAGACATTCCCAACAGCCACTCTACGTATAACATTCTCCTGCAGACAGTTAATCCAGTCTAACGTTAAGGACAAGATACCGCCTTTGGCCACTTCAATGTGTATTTATCAATTCACTTGCTCGTGTGGAGCAAAGTATATCGGCCGTACGCAACGTCAAGTCCACAAACGTATCCTGGAACACTGCCCAGCTTGGTTAGCCAGAGGAGAAAAGAAGAATAGCAACAGCTCAATCCTCGAACACCTTGTTATCTCCGGACATCGAGCACCCCCACACGAATGCTTCACAGTGGTACACAGAGTCCCTCAATATCGTACAAAAGGACTCCGGATACGACATCTGTACATAGCTGAGGCATTAGCTATTCGTGACATAAAACCGGACCTATGCATACAAAAACGATACATACATTCTCTAGCCCTACCATGGCCAGAGTAAATTTCTTACTATAATTTTTCTCCTCTCTTTTAATATGTAAGTTCACTATCATTATTATTATTATTATTACTGTTCTTAATACTTTTATTATTATTACTATTCCCACCATCCACATTTTATTACTACTCTATGACTGTTTATTAATAACATTGCTTTTTCACACAGATCTTATACAAAACTACTGTATAACCTTTCCACTAGTTCCTGTCCACTCTACACTAGCTTATTGATTAGTCATTATCTCACACTTATTAGGTCATGCCAACTTCTGTCTCCTTTCTAACTTACAATTAGTCATCCCTTCTTACACCTCACACTATGTAGTAGAATTTTCAAGGACAAAGTTTACCAGTATCTGATTGGTCAAAAACTTATGTGTTTAATTATAATTACGATTGCACAGCTCATGAAAATGAATCGTCGAAAAGAAAATTTTCTTCGCTGTTTGTGCCTTTTCTTAGGATTCAGAATATTTAGGTGTTTTTTTAAAGTTTAGGAGCTTGAAAAGAAAGATTACTGGAAAAACCAAATGAATGCAGATTACATAACAAGTTGTTGTACGAGTTATACTGTTGACAGCATCCATACGCATATGTCAATTTATTTGCTTCTGTGTGGCAAAGTGCTAAGGTCGTACCAGTAGGATACTATCTAAATGCACACAAAAGCTATATTCCACCAAGTTTGTTGCAATGAAAAATTGGACGGATCAGTAGTTCAACTGTAGAACACCATATCCTTAAAAATCATTTCACATCAATAGAATATCTTTTCAAAGTGATACAAATGGTAAGACTAAGTCGGTCAAATGGTGTTCGACTACATCTTGTCTCCACAGCTAAAGCCATTGCGATACACAAGGAAAACATTTTACAGTGTATATAGAAGTGCTGTATCCAAACCCTTTTACTACGGTAGGCTTAAAATTTCTTTCCTTGGACAGTTTTTATTCACATTGCACTCAATTCTAACTGTTTAACGGCTTCGCAATCTTTATATCATGTAAACTCATTGCACATACCGAAATATTGTAGAGTTTTGCAAGTAATTTTTGTGAATCTTTAATCCAAGTGATTCAATAAGTATGCTTTAGAGTTTTCAAGAGTTTTTTTGTAGGGATTTCATTAGTTTTAAGTTTGATCACTGACTAGAACACTGGCTAGAGGACCACTGAAGACCAAGGCGTACAGGACAGCTGTTTAGGTGTAATTTTTGACTCTGCAGAAGTACGCACTTACCAGGGTTCAAATCCAGGATCTTCTGGTTACAAGACATGCCCGTAAACTATTCAGCCACTGGAACCCGATCCAGTGGCTCCCTAATCCCAACTTGCAATCATTCAAGATTTTACGATGACCCCCAGCCATTTTCCTCAGCGAGTATTTATCCTCACGCCTTACAATGTCAAGCTTCCTGCTCACGACTTCTCACTGGAACTCCAGATAACTTCATCTTGAAGCCGGTAATGAACGAGCTGAAATCATGAATGAATTAAAATTGAATTCATAGGCTGACCATTGGATTGTGCCCCATTGAATAGTTTACGAGCTTGCCATGTAACTGAAAGATATTGCTTTCAAACTTAGATGGCCTGTTATTCTGAAAAGTCCCAAATTAGGTTATTGCGGCTGTCCAGTACTCCCTGGTTTTCCATGATTCTCTAACCTTACGCTTTACAATCCAAAACACAGATATTTAGTTTTCCACTTAACACAGTTCATTTCCATATATTTTAGCTCACTACCACTATTCAGAAAATTCAAAGTTTATCTAGCATCTTTCTTCAGGTTCTACTTTCGATTTTAGCAAGTGAGCTCTTAATAAAATACTGACAACGCTTCGGTAAAAACATACCTGTAATGTGCATTTGATACGCGACATTCAGACCAACATTATTCATTTTAAAATTTGTACCTGGAAAGTAAACAGTGATATATTAATGATAAATAAATATTTTGTTGCGTAATAATGGTTTCTTAAAAATATAGGCCTGCTCGTCAGCTGGATTTTTTTATCACCATGATTATACATGAAACAGGTAAAACAATGATGTCTCTAACTTGTAGGCAGTTTTATTAAATGGTTTTGTGGGGTAGCTATTTTTTAGTAAACACATAATGAGATTAATATATACATTATTACGCCTAGAGTGTACCTTCGGTAAAATGCAAAAAGGATCAGATCTGATGAATCAGTGATGCTACTTCAGCATATCAGTTAAAATGTTACTCATATAGGTGTAGTGTACATTGAATCCTTGAACTTTTGTTTAAACTCGCTCACCCATCTTTTTAGCACTTCTGCATCTTTTTAGTTTTAACCCTGCTGGACACAACTGGTTCGCTCTCCCGTTGTACCTTCATTCAGTGCACTCTCCGAGCCTATCGCCAATCAAGCCGCTAGATAAGTTGTATAAACTCCTTATTTATCAAATTTCGTATCTCATTTGTATAAAATATAACCCAGTCCAGACACCCTTATCATATCAAGTCATTTTACTCTGATTTCGTTCGTCAATGCTTACACGTTAGGTAGAGTTCAGCTAAGGGCATAAAAGGTGAAGTTTTTTTAAGAGTGTTAATTATTGAGGTCCACCTTAATTCAGTACTACTCTTATATAGGTGTCAGAATAATAAACCCAATTAATGCCCACAAATATTGTCTTTCACACACAGCACACTGAAATCTATTTATTGAGTTATTCTACTGAAGTAAAAGACGGCTGTTTCTTCATAGCACCCTGAGGTTAGTTCTGCTGAAACCTAACTGTCACATGTTTTTCAGCAGCAATATAATAAGATTTAGTCCACAAGAATTCGTAATTCCATCCTCTGCCGACATGTTTCTAAACGCCTTTAAGCCGGCAGGGATTTCAGTAAAGAGGGAAGGTTGGCCATAAAGCTAGCAATCCTACCCGTTGAAAATAAAACCCCATCGATACTGAAATTTAAAAGCTGAAGCCTGAACACTTGTATTCGACTCAGAATGCAAAGATATAAAAAATAATAAGAATGAATTATTATTAGCAGTAGTGATTTTCTTTTACTAATTTGTTTCATTAATTAACATATAAGTGTAGAGCAAATTGAGCAAAATGTCTCGAATTTTTAGGCGCAAAATTTCTACTTCTTTAAAGAATCAACCGAAGGGTTATGTCCAGTGCATTCTACCAATAGCTATGACAGATCACTTACAGAACTCTACACAAACAAAATAAGAACCTGTTTCTGTTGAATGCATGTGCGTCGGTGGCACAGTGGTTAGGACTCTCACCGATCATGCACATGGTCCGGGGTTCGAGCCCACGCCGGCGCACACCTGATATCTATGGTCGGCCTGCAAAATTTGGGCTACCGATATCCATGCTGAAAATTCCATACTTGTAGCAAAAATACAGTGTGGAATCAAGCTGTAAATCAAAAATCAAAATTTTAAAATAAAAAAACTAGGCATTGAAACAACGAATAATGTTTAGTATTGAAGGGAAATAAGCCTGAAAATGAAATTATACCCCCGAATTTACAATTCCATACTTGCTACAGATTAATTTTATAGCTTCAAAAATAATTTTGAACTTCTCTACAGAGATGAAGACAGTCTAAGTGACAAAAGCAATCCTGTGATATTTCCGAATCAAATGTTAATTTCAGCAATTTAACTTAGTTAACAGAAAATTTATGTCTGAGAATAATTTGTCCTGCATAAACAATACAAACAAACATAACTGAAAATAAAAAGTGGTACTCTAAAACAACATATATCCTCAAATTGTTGAAAATGAATGAAAATTCACTGATAAAAAAAGAGAATCACTCGAAAATTTAATTCCATTGTGAAAGATACGTTTCAAATTTTAATAAAGTCACACATAAGTGGAAACTCTGATGTTGTATTGATGGCGAAAAGAAGACATCTTAAAAAAAAACACTTTAAAAACTCATTAAATATGACAAAATTAAATTTTTCCTCATTGTATAATAACTCATTGCTAGTCATTTATCCAGTTTTAATGTTTTAAAATATGCTTTAGCTAGCCCTTTCGGCAAACACAGTCGTACAGTGGAAAAAAGAGATCAAACAACCTACCCTGGAAAATTATTTCAGGTGGGAGAACACGCATTTAAACCTTATTCAACTTTATATATTGTCGTAATTTCTAAGCATTCTAATGAAGCAATCGACTGACATTCAGATTTCATTCCGATAATCACTCTTGTAACATGTTACCTTATCAAAATATTATTACCCGATCCGAGAAACTAAAATGAAAAATAAAAATGTCTGGAGCTTTTTCACAAGGGAATATAAAATTTAGACATCATTTATCATGCCTAGTCAGGCGGGGATGAAAATTATGAGCAACTAATTTTTAAGGAGTCATATAGCGAATAAAAATAAATTTAAAGGATACAGGATCTCATCATGAGCTGACATTGGTTAGACAACAGTTGAAAAACCTGGGACTACTAGACAGCTCTTTCGCCTGTCCCATTATGGGACTCTTCACAGGACGCATTCACCGCCAGTGTTCGAACCCAGGGCATTCAGGTTTCAAGGTCAGCTGGTGCACCCAATCCAGTGGCCAACCCATGATTTCCAACTTCTGAAAATTCATGACTATAGCGTGACCACTATCGAATGTCATCGTTGGCGAGTACTCGTCCATATATCAGACATGGTCGACCACACTCGTCATGACTACTTTCTTGAATACATCTAGTTGTCAAAGGCGTTGTTTCTAAGGTAGCTTTGAAAGTAAACCTTCTGCGAGTTCTTTGAAGTCAAGTCAAAATAGGAGAATAAGTATAATGCAAACGTAAGCTGACTGATTTCACACAAAAACTGAGCCATCGAGATTAAGTTTACACGAATAAGTACAAGTATTATGAGGCTGTATTTTTATTACACTAAAGCGAATCCCTTAGAAAAATCATTTGCAAAACAGTCATAGATCTGTGAATGGTTAGCCGAATATGTAATTTTATATCAAAATGATCAGTTTTTAAATATTCAGATTAATGAAACGACTTACAGCTTTCTCCGATCATTTATTACAGTCAACACATCCTATAATTCTTTATGAATCAAATTTTCAGTGAGTGTTTCAATTAATTAATCTCTAATATCGGTCAAAACAAATAATATCTGTACTGGTGTAATCAAATAAAGTTTTTCTGCTCTCAGATTTGTTTTTGTTTACAGTCAATCCTCTTTTTTCAATTTTCTCCTTAACAACATAAGCCGCTTCATTTATTTACAGAATAATCTGTCAAATGTCATCCGGGAGTTAATATAGACAAATGACGTTATCGAGTATATCTTCCGCTGTAAATATGCTCACTTTTACTACACAGTCTCTACAATAATTAAACAACCTATATGTGTCAATTTGAGTAAAGTGATTTCAGGTACGACAATAATAACAAACAACACAGAGTAATAACAATCAAAAACAGGTGGATGGGGGAAAATTGTATCAAATTACAGAAATACACAAAAATCAAGCATTATATGAGGTCCTTTTACTACATACAATTTATATTTCAGCTCAGGTCTTTTAATTTTTTATCCTTCTAAATAATGCATCAGCAGTTTGTGTGCCATGATGCAGTGACATTTTGTGTCAGCTGACTGAACGATTATAATCGTTACCGGTACGGTTATCAAATTCATTAAATTTCTTCCTCTGTGAGTATTTCAGATAAGACATTATAGTTTGATGGATAGTACACTAAAGTAGTATTGCATGGACTTACAAATCCCTGTAAAGTTCAATTTTACCCTGAGCAGTTCAATGAAGTTAGTTTTAAAAACAGATGGTATTTATTGTATTAGAAGACAAACTACCGTCGTACCTTTGGTTTCTTTGTTTCAATTAACGAATGAGATTCAAACCAAATTCCCATTCAAACATATGAGACAAAATAAAGTTCTAGCAATGAATATTCTATTCGTATAAAGCAAGAAGAACAGTTTGTCTAGGACTAGATAACATAATAATAATTTATTTTACTTTATTCCAAAAACAGTACTTATAATATAGAATGGAATTCTCAGCATTTGTCACAATATTGCATCTGATTTACTTAAAATATAAATAAAATTAAAAATCAAGACAAAATTAACCAGAGGAATTTGTCCACGCTTACGATATAAAGTAAAAAATATTCTACGCACGAATTGAGATCATTAAATAATAATAGTAACAGTGAGTTTGTTTCAAACAGTATTGTCGATTCAGTTTTAAAATTTTAGCATGTTACTATAGAGTATTGAATCTAATGTTCTGTTGATGCAGTATAGTGAGGGGAAATGCAAGATTAACAGTGGTAACACAGCTTAAACGATGTTCACACTAATGAAAAATAAATAAATAAATAAATTGAGAGGATCATAAATATAAGAAATACAATAAAATAAAGTTTGGTACTGTAAGGGTGGAAGAAATGGTTTATTTAGTATTGCAAAGAAGGTTAGTTAGTTCATTCCTGACACCATTTTCATCACACAAAGTACGTGCTAAATATGGTATAGCGGAATTTTTACACTTGAACGTGCGTGCGTAAATTCTTCTAAAAAGATTCCTTGTTTTACCTGAGGAGACACAAGGTTGAAGCTGCGGGTAGAGTGGGTGCTCAGAGTCTGACAAAATTCCTTTAGCAAATTTGGTGCATGACATCAAGTCCCTTTCAGTGACAATGTCAACGATATGGCCCAATGGGATATCACTCGTCCTTCTGACTGACAGTCTTTAGAGTTCTACGAAGTATGACATAGTCTTTTTTAAGCAATCCAGGAAAGAATAAGGGTGAACAGTAAAGAAGAATAGGTATAATACGTGAGTTGACAAACTGTAAGAGAAGTGGTTGGGTTATGCCTGAGTGCCTCAACTTCTTAATGTAAAAAGTCAGGCA